TGGAAGAGCAAACGGATACTTACGGTAAGGCGATGAAGAAGTAAACAAAAGAATAAAAGAAAAAATATATATTTAAAGAAAATATATATTTTTTATTTTATTTTTTTTTGTTTTATTCTTTGGTTTACTTCTTCATCGCCTTGCCGAAAGGATCAGTTTGCAGTTTCATATTTTTCTACAAGTTTAATTGTACTGATCCAGGTCTATAAGTGGGGAAATTCGGCACTTCTCATTGGTTTGTCGCTTTGGACTTGTTAATATATAATATTTTTTGGGATAATATGTAGTATCTGAACAGCTGACAAGTGTCCCGATCCCCATTTTCCAAGTTTTCTGGATCCCTTTCTGTAGACTCCCTATCCTTTCGCCTCATGTAAGGGAATCTAAGACAGTTTTAGATTCAGGATTCTACACCGTAGATTCCGGATTCCAGGTACTGGATTCTGGAGTTTTTGTCAGTGTAACTTGAATTCTGGATTCCAGTCTTTAGTAGGACTCAGGATTCCTTGAGCTGTATTCCGGATTCCAAAAGCCATGATTCTGGACTACACAAGAAAAATTTATCGGATTCTGGATTCCACAGGAAAAAATTTCCCGGATTCTTGATACCCTTTTATGGGGTTAGACCTTACTTAAACGCATGTCCGCCATTTACTGCCACAATTGGTAAGACAATTGACACAACTGAGTAGCTTGTAACGCTTCAAACACACGAAGGGCCTGTTTACATGGAGGTGGAGGACCCCAGGTAGGTGAGGTAACCCGCTTATGAGGGGTAACCCGCCTGTCCATATAATCTCTCATTTCAGTTTGACCACGTTTACATAATAGGTGGGATGACGGGCGGACGTTGCCTCACGTACCTGTCTGGGGTTCCCCCACCTCCATGTAAACAGGCTCTAAATTGGTAGTTTCTTGGTGTTGCCGACGGCTGCAATCACCAAATGACGTAATACAAGAGATTGAAAAGACACTCAACAATTCTCACACCACCACACACAGGCCAACCAACAATGGTTTCCACTACACTAGGAAACACACTCACCCACTGAAATAAAGTTGATATTGCATCTTTAGAATTTTCACCTCTACATTAACTGGAGGAACATTTTCACCACTGAACTATAAGACTTGTATATTTAAGACCAACAATGCTTTCACATTACCCTTTATTTTCTTCAGGCACAGTTGATAGCAGCTGGAATCAAGAGCTCGAACGACCTGCAAGGAAATCATTCAATAAGTAGAGTCATCCACAAACTCACAGGGAGCAATTAACAGGTGGACGTTGGTCTTCGTTAAATGAAGCTAAATGAGTGTAAGCAAATCACGACGGCGGGCGGGTAATACAACGGCTATCTTGGCCGAGGGGATATTGATGAGTAAGTTGCCGTAACCCGTAAATTTTCCATAAATGATCATAAATGAATGAATCGGTCATTCTCTGCGCTGGCTAATTCAGAAAGTAATTTATTTTAACATTTCGTCTATAGGCATACTGTGGTTTTAGACAAGTGGATGAAGAAGAAAAGCTCTTACAGCCTGCCGTCACTCTAGGAAGGAACTTAATGGGTAAAGGGTAAAATCCTCGACTAGCCGAGAAATCGAGAATGTGCTTGAGGCGGATATTCGTTCAGGAATCCGAAACTTATCAGTAAAAGAGACTGAATCTCGGAGTTTCATCACAACTGTATCAAAGATACCTTCCACCCCCAATAAAAGCAACCCCTCCCCCCCGCTACTTATTAAATTGCAGATGTTAATAAAGAACCAGCTCCGAAAGCCTTCAATCGCACCCCCATTCTCTTAGCGCAAAACTAAAAGGCTAGGCGTTCTTTTTTAAAAAACTGTTACCGCGAAACTTTGTTTTACGCTCCCCAAAAAATTTACACTGAACATTAGGAGGGGGAAACAGTTGACAGCTACCTTACAAACGTTTTAAAACAAAGTTATTCGAATGACAAAAAGAATAGTTTCAATTTAGAACTGCGTATGCCTAAAGAAACAAAACAGTTGTTTGCGGTTTGGCGGTGAAATGTAGAGGTTGAATTAAACCCAGTCTCGGCTGTCACTCTCCAATTGTTTGTGCATAAACACTTGTTAAGACTTTTGTATGTTTTCGGATCTTCACGGGGTCATAGAATAATTACATTTTTGAAATGCTTTCACGATCGAATATGACTTCCTAGTTCCCATTTCCTTCGCGGAAAAGAAAACGATAACGAAGGACTACCAAGAACGAAAGGACTGCCATTAGATTCGCAAATTGGGGTGCAATGAAAAATGACTCGGCGTTAATATCACCGGGGATGGCATTTACGAGTCTATTTTGGTTTCACCTACTACATGGCATATAGATTGCCAATAATATTATCATTCGTGTAATATTTTCGCCTACTTAATCACTAAATAATACTCCACTAAATACTCAGTGTGTTCACTTTCGGTTGCTGATTATAAAAATCAATTCTGAAACTCTAACTGCTTTCAAACATCTTTAGACTGGCAGTGATTTTTTTTACCCTTTTTATACCCAAATGGCGTGACTCCAGAGAAGCCAAATTCAGTGAATCGAGCCTTACTACAAATGAATTACTGTTTATGCATGTCAGTACACAATCCGTTTTCCTGCCAGCATACTCAAAGAACCGACGTGAGCAGTGTATATTTTTAAGTTCCGACTCGGTCAAAACGGTTATTTTATCACTGTTTCCCTGCAGAACGAGGCCGAATAAATGACGCGTCGCTCCTCGGTTAACGCAATACTGTTTTACATAATTTTGTTTCCGAGAAAATGCTTGGTAAATTATGAATTTCTCAGGAAAAACCTTCTGTTGAAGTCAGTGTTAAAAACCGCGGTTAGTTTGTAGCTTCACGCATTGTAGGGGTGTTTTACAAGGGAAATGCGAATAGTAATTTTAGCCTGACAAGAAAGCAACTATTATCATAAACTGTGCGCAGAGATTTTTCTGTCTCCAAGTGTCTTTAAGGAATGTTAGTTTTGCACTCTACTTAAGCATTGAACGTGAAAAAAATGAAACTTGCCTTTGTTTTGACGCTTGTCCTCAAATGTAGAAAACATCCTCTAAAGCATTTTGCTGTATAAGTGATCGACTCTTGTCGTCTCTTGCTCGATTTGTCACAGAACACAACGACCAGAATCAGTGTCAGTGACAATGAAACGACCCTGCTGAAGTCTCTCTTTTTGGTCCGCATCGTTTAATCACAGATACACGACTGTTTTATGTTTTGATTCAGAAGCAGGCTGAGCTTTGTTTGCCGCAGTGAAATCTCATTAAAGAAACAGCGAAGTGTACGTCGCAAAGACTGGATCGAGGAGATAAAATAACGTAGTATTGGAGTTTGTCAATGAAAGCCAGTAAAGTTGCAACCGCGGGGGATCCAGGCTAATACCTAAACCGCTCAGTTAGTTTATTACAAATTAACATAATTTGCAAAAGCTTAGTGAATGACAGTATCTATCCATCTGTCAGTGCTAGTATACACTACTGACCTAGATAAAGTCTTTCAACTGTTTTGACTGAACGTTTTCATAACTTTAATTTTTCAGAGCGTCAGAGCCAAAATCTACCCCGTGGTGGTTGGGTAAAACGGCCAAAAATTCAGTCGATAGCCGTAAAATTGAAAACTCTTAGCCGTTAGCGGTAAATAGAGTAAAAAAGAGTTAACCGTAAACTACTGTTCCCTAGATTTGCTACTTTTAAGGGAGGTGCTAAACGCACTTATGGTTGCGTTTTTTATTTCCCGGCTAGTGTGACTCCGTACGCACGTTAGGCGAAGCGCCTTTTAGGTGTTGACCAAGACCTAGGCTCCCTTTCCTCCACTCTCTCGGGGAACTAATTTTTTTCCATAGCGAAAGTGTGGCTTCTTGCTGGGGATCAATATTTGCGATTTTCAGGAGTTCGTGCCCTCGAAACACTAGTGAAACAACAAGCAGAGATGTCACTGTTTGTAAAACATGTTGCCCATAAACAACATTTCTCTGTTTTTCTGTGACACCACGGTAGACGTTGCCATGCCTAGTCCCTGTACGGCGTCTTCCCACGCCATCTCGGTCAAGGCATTTCGGACTCGCTAGGACCACGTGATCCGAAACGCATTAGCCGAACGGAGTAATGAGGCCTACGGACAAGGCAACGGCAGACAGTCGTTCCTTACAGTCCTTCGCTATCATTAAAAACACTGGACAAGGGAATCTTGTTATTGGCCGTTTTCACGCTAGAGCTAGAAATGGATTATCCGTCTGAGACTTGCCTGTGTACAGTCGCGCCCTCCCCCCACACACCACTTCTCCGATTTTTCTGGGGGGAGGGGGCGGCTGTACACAGGCTATCTGGAACGGATACTGATCCGGTCTTCAAACTGTCCGTCGAAATTGACGTATAAAGTCGGGCGGATTATCATTCAAAATTAAAACTATTCCATTTTCAGAGTAAGAAGTATTACCTATCTGACAAGAATCATAAAAAATATTGAATATTTTCTAATGGGAGACCTTAACTGCGACATGATTGCTACTCGATATGACAATAATACATGCAAATTAATGAGTGTCACTGATATTTATGGTCTACAGCAACTTATCACTGAACCAACCAGAATAACTCCGACTTCTGCAACTTAGATTGATGTAATCTATACTAATTGTCCAGATAAAGTTGTGTGTTCGGGGGTTCGTCATATCAGTATTAGCGATCATAGCATAGTTTTTGCCTATCGAAAATTATCCGTGAATGGGATGTCCCGGTGGGCACAATGCTATAACCTGCAGAAACTTTCGAAAATTTAATCGAATAAATTTTCGGAACGATATTGCATCTCATTGTTGGGATCACGTATACAATTCAACTGACCCCAATGAAATGTGGCTACAATGGAAATGCTCGTTTCTATCTATTGCTAACAAGCATGCTCCCTTGAGAACAATGCGTGTTCGCACGCGTAGTTCCCCATAGATTACATGTGAGCTTAAGAAACGAATGCATGATCGGGATATTCTAAAGATTAAAGCAAGTAAATCGAATGATTCAAATGACTGGTCACTTTTTAAAAAACAACGCAATATAGTAAATAGCGAAATCAGATTAGCCAAGCAAGCCTATTATAAAAATAGTTTTAACAAGTATATGGGTGATTCTAAAAAGACCTGGCAGACTATCAATGAACTTACTTGGCGAAAATCTGGAAAAAAATCGGTGGCATCTCTGAAAGTAAATGGAGTATCAATAACAAATCCAACTGTTCTGTCGAACCAATTTAATAATCACTTTGCTACTATCGGTCCAGAACTTGCCAGCAATATTGATTCCTCAAATAGTGATGGCTATCAAAAGTACCTCACTGGCACAGATAAACGGTTTCAGCTCCATCCGACCAGTACAAATAAAGTTCTCTCACTTTTGAATCGTCTAAATAAGTCAAAGGCAGCTGGCCTCGACAAGATATCTGCTAGGCTCATTCGGGAATGTGCAGATGTCATTTGCATTCCTATCCGTGATATTTTTAACCAGTCAGTAAGTCAAGGCATATTTCCGGATGACTGGAAATGTGCAAAGGTCACCCCACTTTTTAAACAAGGCGATCGGGACGACTTAAATAATTATCGTCTAATTTCGGTGATCTCAGTTATAGCCAAGGTCTTTGAAAGAATCGTCTATGATCAATTATATGCCTACCTAGAAGAGCATAATATAATTTGTAAATATCAATCAGGCTTTCGTGCTATTCACTCAACTGTCACCGCTCTCCTCGAGGCCACGGACACTTGGGCGTATAATATTGACCGCGGTAAAATCAACGCCGTTGTTTTCTTAGATCTCAAAAAGGCCTTCGACACAGTTGACCATGAGATCCTTTTATCAAAATTAAGCAATTACGGCATATATGGTAACGCGCACCAATGGTGTAAGTCATATTTTTTTTTTTTTTTTTGTTCCATCAACGGATCGCTCTCTCAAAGCTGTTTATTAAGTTGTGGTGTTCCCCAGGGGACGATTTTTGGTCCACTAATATTTCTGTTATACATCAACGATCTTCCAAACTGTCTTTCAAATTGTGAGCCGAGGATGTACGCTGATGGCACCCACCTTACATACGCAGGTGGTAATGTAGACAATATTCAGTTGCATCTAAATCAAGATTTAGAAAATGTTCACAATTGGCTGAGAGCAAACAAACTCACTCTAAATATGACTAAAACCGAATTTATGCTTATCGGATCTAGGCAGAGGCTAAGTACTCTCACAGAGTCCCCGACAGTTGCAATTAATGATTTTCAAGTTAGCGAGGTCACTACTGCAAAATCACTTGGAGTGACCATCGATGACAGACTTGATTGAAGTGGCCATATCGAGAAAGTAACAAAGAAAGTCGCTTCTGGTGTTGGGGCCATAAAACGAATAAGGCACCTTGTCCCTTAGGCGACCTTACAATTAATATATCAAGCTTTAATAGAGCCACACTTTGATTATTGCAACATTGTTTGGGGAAACTGTGGGATAACTTTACGGAATAAGGTTCAAAAGCTACAAAACAGAGCAGCCCGTGTTTTGACCTACTCAAGCTATGACGTAGATGCTGGTCACCTTTTCAAACTTCTTGGGTGGAAAAACCTAGCTTGCCAGCAACAAATTCAAAGAGCTACGATGGTTTACAGGTCTCTGCACAGGTTGGCTCCAAACTATCTTAGTTCTAAATTTGAAAGTGAGAAGTCGCATATAACCTAAGGGACTCTGAAAATAAACTCAATGTTCCATTACCGCGCACAAACTATTACAAAAACAGCTTCAGCTATAGTGGCGCCATTCTCTGGAACAGTCTTCCTTGTAACTTAAGGGAAGCAGAGTCCCTTGGGCAATTTAAACGATTACTAATAGAACTGTAAGGTACGGCATTTGTGGAAAGCAGCTTTTTTATTTAAATATTTTTATTATATTAGTATTAGGCATTTTTATAGCCGACGAATTTTGTACCGTGGATAAATAAAGATTATCTATCTATCTATCAAACGGATAACCCGTCTCACACGAATAATCTGTCTCTAGTGTGAAAACGGCCCTTTCTGTTATAAAGAATGTCGCGCCCCGGCCTTGAGTTAGGCGTTTGCGTGTCCGCTTTTGCTTTTTCACAAAGATTGTTTTTAAATTGACTATTGACATTTCTATGTGTAAAATAATATTAGAAGTGAAATACTTTATAAAAAGTATGATCTATTAAATGTTGAAATTTTTCAAAAGAATAGCTTGTTTCATCCCGAGATGATCCGAAGACCGTTATTTTGATTTAAAGATACAAAAAATACAGGTTAATTAATATTTAACTTTTTGAAACAAAAGAAGTTAATTTGTTAACTTAAAAAGAGCCAAAAAAACGTGTTAAAAATCCTGCTTACATCTTCCCCCCCCCCCCCTTATCCCTCCCCCTTCCCTATAATTTCCCATAATTCTCTCTCTGTCATAATTGGCGGGAGAAGTTGCTTTCCGTGGTCGGTAAATTTTCCAGTTTTCTTGTTGGCCGCCTGCAGCAAAGTTTTTTGGAAGGCATCATTTCAGCCTTAAGAATGAACAAGTCTCGCGACTGGCAGTCTGCCGTCGTCCAAAAATTACCGTATTTTGTCTCATTTTGGCGAAACGGGTGAAACACAGATCTCGGGCTTGAGAAGGAGGGCATCACATTGCGAACTTTGATGTGGGCGGTGACGAGTCTCTGGCCTCAAAAAGTAGTTTGTAGGAGTCACGTTTATTCGGCGAGAGCAAATTGATACAGATTGCTGATCAGGCCAGAGACTTAGTTTAAAATTTTTCCTTTCAAAACGGCTCGTCTATCTCTGGGATCTTGAAAAAATCGACTTCGTCAGGAAAGTTTCCATCTATGTTTTTGGGGCTAAGTTCAATGGACTTTAAAGCTTGTTACCGCTCGTAACAAAGCGCACAATCTTAATGATCATTACCTCACCGAGCCCGGAAGCACTGGTTCACTGTCAATGTATGTATCGAAATAACACAAAATATGGTATGATATTGGACAAGGCAGAGGACTTTGCCAGGCGCCATTTTCCTTTCCTCAATAGGGCTTTAAGGTGTCCTTGGAAAAATTTGCTCCAGGCCGCCAAAAACTATTTATAAATAAAATATTAAACAGCTCCAAAACCTGCAATTAACATACTTGGAATTGGTACTTAGAGCGCTCTCCATTTGCCAGAATTGACCGGCCAGACCATTCCCGTCTTAACGAGAATCTAAATCAAAACTATCCTAAATAGTATGCACGAAGGAGGTAGTTTTTTCACACACCGAAAAAGACTCATGGAAAAAGCCGCTATTTGACTGGTTCGGCCATGGTCCAAAGGCCAATCTTGACTTTTGGAAAGCGCCCTGACGCTCGATGCTTTGCCTTGAATTTCTTTGTCGTGGTCAAACCCGTGTAATTCCTTTCAATCAATATTTATTTTGCTTCACTTAAGTGTAAGTTGCACTAAAATGATGATTATTTTAAATTTACAAAATAGAAAAGGAGACCTTGGTTCCAGTATGAGTGTCCATGATTAGTCACGGTGTGCTGTATTATCACTCTTATTAACTGAGCGCGTAAAAGGAATTAACATTGAACAGGACCAATGCTCATGTTGCAAAAGAACTAAACAACTGTGGATACCAGCCTACTTACTCGATGAACAGTCCAAACCAAGTCCAATTAAAGATAGAAGTTTATTTCTCAAACACAACATGTTGTAAAACTGTGCCGTAAGTATCAGGTGAGCGGTATTGCGCAACTAGTCTGCCTCATGTTGTGGGAATTAAGGCCAAGGATGAAATGGAGAGACCAAAGTTCATGCCAACATTTAACTGCATTCCTTGTTGTAATTTCGCTTTATTCCTCGGGTAAAAACTGGTGGAATTTGTACTTCAGGAGGCTCAGCTATGTTCTTACCATGTTCACCTGTTTTCGCAGTCTCAGCCCCAATATTTTGATAAGAAAGGCTCCATGTTACATCTAACAATGTTTACACCACAGATATAACGGTGTCATTGCTGATAGTGCTCTCCAACCTCATAAATCCAATTCTTCCTCTGTTACCATTTGTGCTGCTTAAGTCACTGATTTCTTCCATGTCAGCATTGAGATGTTCTTGGTGCGCATCAGATTCCATGCTGCTGGCACTCTCTAACCTTTCTCTGTTCTCGTCATTTGTGCTGTCAATTTTACAGTTCTGATTAACGTCAGAGTCATGGCATTCCTCACCACTAGGCAGACGAAGAAATTCTAGGAGTTTTCGTTTCCAAATGCGCCTTTCGGTGGCATTGCTGTAGTCTATAAAGCTTTTGTCCTTAAGTTCTTTGGGCAGCATATCACTATCAACTTTATCAATCCTGATGACAGCCAAGCAACGATCGCGATGCGATAAAAGCCGTCCTATTGCGACGTCAAGCTCGTACTTACAATAATTGCTTTTCACAAAATTACTGGAAAATAATGCTATGACTTTGTGGCTATTGTAAACACTTTCTGCCATGCTGTCCCGAAAAGGCTTCCCTACGGCAAAGTCTCTATAGTGTATACAACAACTTAAATGGTGCTTTTCTTCCAATAGAGGCAGAAGCTTGGTCTTCATCCAACGTTGGTCTCCACTGTTGAATATTATAAATGCGTGGTATCTAAAATCTGCAAGAGACGAGAGAAAAAGGTTACAAACGAACAAACAAACAAAGCGTGGCCATATTATTTTGAGGATAGTTTATAACTCTAAACATTTAAAGAAACTGTATTCATCTACCAAAAAGCCATTTAGGCCTAGTTCAAACGTCGACCTTCTCATGTACCGAACTTAATAACTATATTATCATGATGTTCAATTGTCTAAAATGCTTACAAGAGAAAATAAATTTTAGTTATTTATGCATTAGGCTCGGCACATGAGAAGTTCGACGTTTGAAACAAAGTCGTTCCACAGTCGAAATTCGCATGAGGGCCACTCGAACTTAATTCATGGGTCGACCCAAATTAGACATGTCGGACTTGATTGGTTCAAACGTCGATCTTGAACTGGGTCTTATTTTCTACTGCTTTTCCTTTAGGACCATGACATCATACCCATATCCACTATATACCATGAACGCCAATCACAGCCCTCTCTCCAGTCACAGAAGGTGAATCGCTTTCTAAATCGAGTCGAGGGGAGCATTTGAAACTTTTCAAGTTAACAGAGGGAGAAGCTATTTTAGAGAACAACCCAGATCTCTTTTAAATGCGATAAAAGTGATTCATAACAGGATTAATTGAACTTTAAGTTTAGAAAGCGGAGATGTCGAAGTTTTGTCAGACCTCCCTTGAAACTTAACAGTCATTGAAAATTTTGGCAAACGTGCCTGTCACATTACGTGCGTTTTCATAGCAACAGCGTCAAAAGAGACGATACGATAATGGGCCCGTAAGGATGAGATAAAGGCCATTCCAGGGTAGTTCAAATCTTTCACAGACATCCCAGTCACTAGCAGTAGTTGGTGAATACTGTAAAAGTACATCCTTAAATTACTTTTACGAATTAAAACACGGCTCGTGATTTGGAATTTGAAACAAATAGCATCACACATCCTTTTCCTCCACCTGGTCAGATTCATGGCTGTGCTCTAGCGCGGAGCCCAGCGGCCCCTGGCGACTAACTTTTGCTCTTAGGCGACTAGAAAATTTTGCTATTTTCATACAAATCATATGCAGGGCACCCTAGATTTCACAGGTTTAGAGCTCTGGGCTCCCTTTAATTTTCATTGCGGCGAGAAGTGGAATTGACGCCGTGGGGAAGAATGATGCTGAAGGCCCAAGAGGGTACTGAATTTGTATGAAATGAATTGACTGGGATGCTCATCATCTAGTGGTTTGTGCTAATTTGACGTGAAAGGAATTCACGATATACAAACCTTGAGGTAAGGGATTATTGCCTATACCCGTCTTGGAGCGGCAAAAGTACACTAAAAGACCCGCAACCAAACCGAGTCCTACGAGGACGCCAACAGTTATGGATATGGACAAATACAAAACAGAATCTGGAAATGAAAACATAAAAATACTTGAATCAGTAAGCTGGAAACATAAAACTATGTATGAGGGGGGCGAGGATCGAGGCTGCATACGTTCCTCGGTTATCGAGAAAAAATGGGAAGATACAAAACTTAAGTAATTACTTACAAGTATTCCTTTCTTTGTGACCGATAACTGAGCTCTACCACTGTAATGTATGTTATGTATATTTGAGGGAAACGGGAGACTATCTTTTAGTGAACGAGGATTCGCGCAGTTATAGTCTGCGACTGCAATTTTTGTCCTGATGGTAAGTATATTAATAGTTTTCCATTGTCTTCCCTTTGTTGTTGTTTTGTTTGTTTTAAAAGTAATATATCAAGCATGAGACGAACGCGGAGTATTTTTGAAGAACTTCCAGGTGTTTCATCTGGTGATGGGCAGAGTGTCGAATGCTTGATATTACATTTCATTAACAATGAAAAAATGAGCAGTTTTTCCTCTGATTTCCACACACTCATTAAACATTAAGATGGAATCCATCAGAAAATTGAGTAATTTTAATTTTCAGTGGACGAAAACCTTGTACCAGAATAATTGAAAAAATATCGCATTCTTTTTTACATTTTTCAAGGGCTATAGATAATATATAGATTTAGCCAGGGCTAAAAGCGAAGCTCCCGTTAATAAATTCATAATATAAATCAAACAA